AGGAAAAATAGAAGAAACGTTTCCCGGTAAAGACGGAGTCATCAGAGTTGTTCGAATTAGGAATAAACATGGAACATATATGAGACCTGTCACCAAAGTGTGTATTCTTCCAGTCAGGAGTTGATATACTCACCTTGCAAAGTCTGCTTGATGGTGGAGAATGTTACTTATTTTATTTGTATTTTCTTATATCAGTTAATTGTTCATCACTATGTATAAGTTGTTTGATAAATATCATAGGTTGTTTGAGAATTAGACAGATGGGAAAAATAATAACTGTCAAGAAAAGTCATTAAAGGCGAAATTGTTTGAATTCGTTTTTAATTTGATTAAGTATTTTACAGTTAGTATAAACCTTTAAACCATCAATCAAACATTTATTGAATCAGTTTTCCTTCACAATCACATTAGACAAAAAAAAACATAACATCATCATAAAATACTGTCTGATTCAACAGGTCAAACAAACATAAAAAAATCAAGATAAAACAGAACATACAGAAAAAAAAGTTAATAAGCTACAATCAAATTAGGATTCAAGGAGAAACTCATCGACAGAGTAGTATGCTTTTTGCAATAGAAAAATCTTTAGTCGCCTTTCAAAGACATTGATATTTGAAGATTTAATGTCCTCACTAAGCTTATTATATAGCTTAACCCCACAGTACATGGGGTGATTCTTTGATACTGTCAATCTACTATAAGGTTGATGTAGTTGAGAGTTGAAATGTTCATGGATTTGCTCATTTCTGGGAATAATTGAAATATCGTTTCTTTATATATATCAGAGTTTGGAAGATATACAAACTGGGCATTGAACATTATAGAAACTCCATATGAAATAATATAAAAACATGTATAGATGTAGACATGTATAGGTACACACATATAAATATTAACATACATACACACACACACACACACATATGAGGTTCAATTAACGATTTAGTTAATTGAATCTCAGTTTCAGTTGTTCGGCATGTTCAGTTTGTTGGTGAGAGCCATACAAGTTAGAATTTGTATCCAATGTGTAAAAATAGAATTAGGTGCTCAAAAACAATGGTATACAGTGGAAAAATGTTTACAAGTGGCACAACCTGCACATCAACTGCTCACATAGCTTTTAATTTGTTCAATACCTATATTCATTTGACAGTAAAATCTTGGTTGACTCAAACGTTCATATTCAATTTTACTTTTCAGACATTCAGCGGGCATTGATCCTGAGATTCTGCGCACAATGAAAATGCAGGGTCCTATTGGCTATGCCCCAAACCCCAAAACAACTAGGAGAAATCAAGTGAGACTCGATAAGTTAAAAGCTGTTTATTTCTGTTAGATATTTGTCATTACTATCTATATTTAAGAATTGTTATGTTTCAAGCAGATTGAAAACACAAAGAATTGTTAATTTTTTCTAGTTGGGTGATTATAGACTGAAATAATTTGTTATTTTGTTAGAATAAATGATTAGTATTGAAAAATACTCACTTTTTATTTTATTTTTATTGAAAAATATTTCAGTTTTTCATTTTCAGTAATGTGGAACACAACTGTTAATTTAATTTTTTGACATTTTCAGTTATATATTTGGCATGCAAGACAGTATTTTTTACAAAAATCAACCATATAAAATTGTCTATTAGTATTCGATTGCATCACTTTATTTTTCTCAATTTATACAGTAATGGCATCAGTTATATATGCAAGCTTTACAGTTTGAAAGGGTAAGGTGAAAAACATTCAACATAATCTACTTCTATTGGTTTTTCAATTCATTGACGAAATATTATAAGGTCACAAGCTTTTGATTGTCTTATTCACCTAAATGTATTTTGATTTCTATTCAGTTATTATTTCTACTTAAATGTTTTCACTCATATGTTTCACAATGATTTGCTTATACACTTCCATTGTTCAATTTATACTAATTTCTCAACCATTCTGTAGTTCATACTTGATTTACAACAGACTTACCAGCACAGAGTCCAATATTACTCGTGAATTATTTTTTAGGTACCCTATCACTTTGTCCAAAATGGTTACACTTCACCTTTTGCTGCTAATGCTAAAAGTCCTAAACACCACGAAGATAATGGTTCATTCATAGCCATTCCGAAACGATATAGAAAAATTGATTTAAGGTACAATAAGTTGGGAACAGATGATTTCCAGTTCGATCATTACAATAGAAGTGGTTTTTCTGGTCTGGAAGCTACCTTGCCGAATGCTTACTGTAACGCTATGATACAGGTTAGTAAAAAGTGAGCAGTACGAAATTAACTAACTATTCATTCCATACACACTGAGTGTGTATGGAATTAAATTTTCATAAAGAAGGGAAGTGACAAATTCGTTCAAGGTCGTCACATTTTTCAGGGTTTGCTCTAGTTTACCTATATTTTGGATTGAATACTTGCTATTATGACCACAAAACATTACTAATGATTATGCTACTATATATTTCATTTATAGAATAAGTAACCACAAAATACATATAATGCGGACATAAATAATACCCCCTTAACTTTTAAACGGGGTAAGATATCAAAGTTGGACAAAATTTGTGTACAAAGGAATCATTTACATGATATAAGACATGTCATAAATAAAAA